TGTACGGCACGTTATTGACTTAGCAGCGACGGTTCTCTGTCAAATAATGACAGGCCAATGAAGTGGTGTCAATCAGTTTTTTACATTTTGTTGTTAAGATATAAATAGATAAACCATGTGCACAGGTGCGAAGCAAATGGGTCTCAGGGATGTATAATAATTTGATACATCACGCTATTTCAAATAGCTTATGCATTACAAATTCCGATAACTTTGACTTAAATATAGCATTGGTATTTTTCATCAAGTAGGGCACCGTTCTGAAATTGAAATGTCATGATTATCGGCGGAATTGGAAAGTTATTATGTGGTAATCCACCCTGATCGCCAGTGGCATGTTTTCTCACAAGGCATTAAACCGTTTTAGATTTTTGGCAATCCATCATTTATCATTCTTTTTTGTAGACATGGCGGAGATTCTTTCGGTAAGCCAGCAGAAAGGCGACATTTCTTTTCATGCTCCAAAGGTGTCGGCAAGCGAAGCGACCAATGGCCCGGCTTCAACAGAGCGCGAGCGAGACAATGCTGATACGAAGACGGTCGATAACTCGTCTGGTCATTTGGTGAAATCGCCAATTTCCAGCGTTCAGTCGAGTGGTCAACATTCCCTGCACTCCGAGTCGAAATGGACATCGTTTGACGAATCTGAACAGGAAGATTCATCCTTAGAGTAGGCGTTCATTCGTATATGTTTTTTTCTTATACAAGACTAGAAAATTTGCCCAGTTTCTATAGAATTCTTTTAGCTGTGCCGCGGTTTTGCTTAGCACCTGTTTATGCTTTAGCTAAAATCAGCTTTTTTATAGCTGATAAGGCTAGATAAATCTGTTGCTTTATGAGCTGTTTATCAACGATAAGTGGCCAATGAAAACGGATGCGAAAGCAAATACGTCCACAATCCGGAAGGAATATGAGACATTGAAGGTTAATGAATCATTGAATGAGTGGATGATAGAATTAGTGAATGGGATTTTCAATGGTTCAGTGGTTACCGCCGCTTTTAATGCGATTCTTTCATCGCGATGCTGTGCTGATCTCCATTTCAGGGCGACAACTAGTTTTGTTTTTTGCAGACAATATGTGGAACTAGATATTTGTCATTGCATGGGAACTCGAGCGTTGTTTCCACAAAGTTAGAAAGTTGAATGACCAGATCGAAAATCGAACCTTTGATCGTTCGACCAACAGGCAAACATTTTACCGGCTGAATTACTCCAGTGAAACAATGTTCTGCGACTTCATAAATGAAGATATAGAATGTCTTCACAGTTCTTCCATTCTGACTCCAGTAACAAAAAAATTCAACATAACCATAACTTTCATGTTAACTCATGATAGTTCGGCGGGTTTCACAGTTGATAACCCGTTTTCTGTTTTATTTGGGCATGGTTGTTTATGTTTGCTTATGATTCGTTGAAACTACTATAGTTTAGTTGAAATATCTTCAATTTTTCATTATTCAAATTTCAGATACACTAAGTTCATGAAACACCATGCGGACAAATACCAACCTCCTTATTTCAAAGTTTTCTCTCTGTTAAGTGTCAGTTTAGACCGGTTTCAAGGAAGAACGAGAAACATTATCTAAAGCACGAAATGAACAAAAATTCAATAATTGCATATCATAGATGATATTGTTCAGAGGCTGGAGATGTTTTTACGATTTTCGGTACATTAATAAGTAAGATTTTATTTTTTTATGATATCGAAGTATCCTGCACGATATTTTCTCTCCGTTTCTTGTTACTCTCGTCTTGAAAGATTTTCAGATTCTTTTTGGGGATTCATGCAAACGGTGGCTTTCAGTCATAACGTTCGGATATGATAAACATCAATATCCTTCTGCTTGATAAATTTGCTCCAGAAACACGTAAAAGATCTGTCGGTCTTAGATTACCAGCATCTGGACTGGTTGATTGTTTCATAATTTATGACAAAGTTAAGAAAGTGTCCTCTACAATATTTTCATCTCAAAGGCTGCTGTACGATCTCTTACTTCATCACTTTTTTTCCTTGATTTGGACATTGAAGTTAGATTTGTTGACAGTATAACTCGTGGAAGGTTCACGATGTCCTGTACCAGAGGTAGATCATACCACTGCAGGGTACACGTTGGATTGTTTACTGGCTTAACGCCTTATATGAAGACGCTGCTTTGGGGAAACTCTATGAATGTTCACAAATAAGATGTAAACATGACCCATATAGGCAATGCAAATCAGACGAGGTAGAGTAAAATACAGTCACGAATGGCCACATCATCCAGTGATATTCCAGCAATTTGGTCCGAAGAAGAGCTAGTGGGAGAGACCCCAAGATTCTAAGCGTTACAGAAGAAGGATAAGTTGAACAGACAGGTAGTGGCGTATGCAGTCAACTCAGTCTGAATACCGTTGTTGCGTCTTCACAAGTTTGGCTGTGGCCTTGCTTTGCCACAGCAATAAAGTTGTTTCTTATGCACTGCTTTGAAGTAAAAGTGTCTTTCTCTCGCAACTCAGATTTCCTCTTCGTTCCTTCATACGGCAGTTATGTTACACACTGAACATTCTTCGTAAAGGTGGGATAATTCTTCTCTGTGAAGCCGGTCTTGCAAGTAGTTAGATTTATGAACCGTCAGATTCAGGATCGTCATAAACTTTGGTCCAATTTTCACCCCAATTACGCACTCGTTGATCGATTCGAAATTATCATCTTCCATCGCCGCTTCTCCTTTCGGGACGCGAGGCAGGCCTCATACAGTGCTTCCAACGCTCCCGATCCTGTGCCAGAGTCTGAGCTTCGGCAAAAGACAACTGGAGTCTGGAACAGACTCCTTCCATAT